GTACATAAATTGCCGAATAATGACCAAGCACTAGATTCTCAATTTAATTACGAAAGAGAAATGATCTAAAATGATAGAATATGATCAGGTAAAAGTAGAGGCTATGGCAGACTATTACAGGAGAGTTTTCACTAAGCAGCCTCTTCTAGATGGAGAATTAGACCCAAATATAAAGCCGAAACATCGTCTACTCACAATGAATTTAGGTCGAGACTATGTACTTAAAACCCTTGAAACTTTAGCCTCCGAACTAGACTCTAAAATCTGAAAATTAATTTCAAAATGTATTGTTGCATCACTGACTGTGTTATTCACTACATCACTCGGCCTGTCTAAGTTGACTACTGATTGTAAGTGTGGAGCACGGCGTTCCCACTCGTGATTTGGTGTGGATGCATGACCAATCGCCTTCATCTAGGTGAGTTCGTCAAAACTAATGCGATCAGCATCAAATGTTGAAGACTTCAAGAGCTATTGATTTTGTGGATTTACTTACCGCTACGGACTTTATGACGCACATTAAACCAGTTGTATACTAATATGTTCACTACAGTATTCATAACGTTTGTCAGCTTCAAACCTTAAAACTGCGTTCAGGCTAAAATTTCATGTTTAAAAGGTTGCTCGAACATCTTGAAGAAATAACGGAAGGCAGCCACTTGATCAGTTCCAGAACTCAGGGATTTACCATACTAAGAAAAGCTTGACAAGGTGGACCAATACATTTTTTCCTGCCGCAAATGAAGATATGATCAGATTTTGATTTACAAAATGCTAAGAGGTGATTTTGGATTCGACACATACTCTCTTTCTACCAGATCAAGATAACTTAGAGTACGTACCAGATGGAGCACAAAAACCAAGTACGAACAAATACCTGTGGCATACAGGTTTTAATATCGAGTTATCAGTCACTGGAACCTGTAATCCGAAGAAGTAGTGTTCATATTCTTTAATTGGCTCTTTCAAGTGAAGACTAGACACTCTCAGAAGCTTAATAGAGAAGAAGTAACTCAAGACATAGGCCTTCTGTCTTCAATACAAAAATCTGAAATCTGAAAATCAGGAAATGAGTGTGAAGAAAAAAATAGTTTTCATCAGCTCATGTAACCACAATGAAACAATAAGAAGCAGGCACAAAGGACTCAGTCGGTTTATGCAAGCTCGTGGTAAAGATATTGGATATCAGATTAAAGCTGATATCAACTTTATTGACGACAGTTTCATCTGCAATTCCACAGGACTTTCTGAAGTGGACCTAAGCGCTGACTTGGTGTTCCAGAAACTGCAGCACTTAAGACTTGACACTTCTCCTGGCCCGGATATGGTTCATCCTGCCATACTGAGGGAGGCAGCCTCAATCCTGGCAACGCCGCTTAGCGTGATGTTTTCACACTCGCTTAGCCAAGGCAAATTACCGGAAAATTGGAAGTTGGCTCACATCACACCAATTTTCAAAGGTGGTCGACGCAATGAACCTTCAAGTTACCGGCCGGTAGCTCTTCTGTCGTTACCTTCAAAACTCATGGAGTCCCTAATATGCGACGGTTTAAATGACTACCTACTGTCCTTAAATTTCTTCTCACCCCAACAGCATGGTTTCAGGAAGGGTTACTCTTGTATAACTAACCTGCTGACTGCGGTGGACAGATGGACAAGCATCCTCGATTGCAAAGGAAAGGTTGATGTTATTTACCTTGATTTCTCAAAAGCTTTTGATAAGGTTAACCACTTGTGTCTTATCAACAAGCTCAAACGACTAGGTATCAAACCACCTCTAATCGACTGGCTCACTTCATACCTAAAAAATCGACACCTTAAGGTTAGGGTTAATTTCACTTTATCTCAAGCTATGGAATGTCCTAGTGGGGTCCCCCAGGGCTCAGTACTAGGGCCTCTTCTCTTCTTGATCTACATAAATGATCTTCCTCAACAGGTAACGTCAGACTTATTACTTTTTGCCGACGACGTGAAACTTTGGAGAGAGATACGCAACCAAGACGATATACAGGCACTTCAAGAGGATCTGACTCGACTTCAAAGTTGGGCAGACGATAACGGACTTACCTTTAACACTTCAAAGTGTAAAGTAGTCCATCTGCGACATGTCGCAAACTACAGTTACAACTTAGGAAACTCCTCTCTAGTAGTATCCCAAGTCGAAAAAGATTTAGGAGTCCTGGTGCCCCATGACTTAAAGTCTTACGCTAACTGTGACAAAAATGCCTTCCGAGCAAACCTTGCACTGGTAACGTTGAGGCGCATTTTTGGTCAGTTTGACGGAAGAACTTTCCACACAATCTTCAATAGTTTCATCCGTCCCCATTTAGAGTACGGAAACATAGTACTCCCCCCCTCACTCCAAAAGGATAAGGTCACTTTGGAGCGTATCCAACGGCGAGCCACGAAATCAGTTCGAGGACTCAAATCTAAGCCTTACGAAGAACACCTCCGTTCACTAGACCTTTACCCACTAGAATATAGGCGTCTTAGAGGTGATTTATTAATGGCTTATAGTATTCTTAACACTTCTGGACATCCTCTTAAACACCTACTTAAGCTTAGTTCGAACAATAACCTAAGGGGTAACACCCAGAAACTGGAAACAAAACATAGCAAGACGGAATGTAGACACAACTTCTACTCCTTAAGAGTTGTCAAAAGCTGGAACTCGCTGCCGGCCGAGCTAGTCCAAGCGACTTCTCAGGAGTCCTTCAAGAGGCAACTTGACCTATTCTTAAGGACTAAGGACAGCATCGCACTATGATTTACCAATTTCTTTTCCTCTTTTATTGCTAACATACCTAGGTTCCTGCCTGGAGGATTTGGTGATCCCCTGCTACTAGACACGGAAGCCTGTTAAGCGAAAGCTTCTTCTATTCCGTCCACAACCATTTGAACCATTTGAACCATTAAAATGAGATTGGATATTGTATTTTGAGATTAACCTTGGCACGAGGTTTGTAAGGTTTCATACAGCCGGACATGATAGGTAAGTAGTAAACTCCTATTCTGAGGAGTTCCTTTTGTCGAGTTTTGCAAACAGTATCTGGATTATACACTTTAAAAATCACAAGTGGCCTTTGAACAGCAATCCTGCTTTAATTGTCAGTCTAATTTTGTACGAGGTTGTTGTTAACAACACATCTTGGAACTAAAAGCTGCATATAAATCATCGAAGGTCAAATGAAAACCCTGGAGAATGATTAAGATTTGACATTTTAAATCTGAATTCAGAGGAAATAGGTTCGATCAAAGCAGTTAATAACGGCGTCATCCCGGGTTTCGAAACATTTAACCATTCTTTTTCACCACTTTTACCAACTCGCTGTTACTGGATAAACGATGACCACGAACATATTCTGGAGGGTTGTCTGTTATCGCACATTCTTTGCGTTGCGGCCGAAAGTATAAACACAGCCCTCACTGTGGCTGTTTAGAATTAGCGATGGATCGAAAAACCAAACCAATTGCAAGAAAACCACACCGTATTCACTTAATTCATGCAATCAGTTCAAGCACTACAGAACATTACTACAGTCCAAGTAGTAATGGTACCAGTAGTGGTAGTAAAGATTGTATTTAGAAATGTGAAAAGTATAAAAATTTCGTTATTCTGGATCTATGGGGAGTTATAGAGTGTATACACATGCTCCATTGCAAACATTTTTGAACTATGTTGCTAAAATTCTTTAACAGTTAGGATAATTACACGGGCAATAGCCAGATGGTCTAAACTTATTGGTATTTCCCAGTTAATGACCTCGTGGATTTGTGCTGTATCTCAATTTAGCTGCCCGTAGCTCAGTCCAGCCTACTCACACCAAATAACATCCCTCGCCAAGGTTGGTAGTAATTAGGCATACACAAAGCATGTCTCAAACACAGTTGGTAAAGACTCAATACCCCATCAACCGACTTGCCATCTTTACTCAGTATCTTGTGCCTAACCTCAGCATTCATTCAGTGGTCTCAGCAATGCCGTAAAGACACCTATGGTCAAACAGTGGTAACCCACAAATATCTGTTTTTAATAGACATGTTTCACACACTTGAAATAAAAAAGGAAACTTATCTGCAGTGAACCCATTTTCTGGTTCCCTACGCTAAAAGTGAACAAAGTTGCCAAAAGGCAGTCGAACTTTCTGAATTCGTGCCGAAATTAGAGTGGCGTGCGTGAAGAAAAAGGCCATTAAATAGAAGCCATGAAAAGGTTTGTTTCTAAAAAGACAATCGGCACAAGTATCATTCAGTCAAAAATGCTTTTTTTTACAAGAACACAATAGGGAATTACGTTAGAACCACCCTTCTTCCTTTCTGAGCCTGATTAGTAATGTACCACTACGAAGAAATGTACGGTCATCAATTACTATGCAGTGATGGATGCTAACCTAAAAACCAGCTTTCATTTTGTAATATGTCCCACTGATCACTAAATCCATGCAATCGTTCCTGGACACAAATGGCATACCCCCTCTCCATCGCTACATTGTAAATCTCTTATTTTCTGGTCAGACGCGACAGGATAATCTGGTGTGACATTCAGAGATTAGTCCATTGTTCTCAGTATAACAGAAACTGGCATATTGAACACATATAGTGGTAAATTTTTACATATTAGATTAACTTAGCGTGTTGTTAGATATGACAATCACAATGTTGCAGAAGTACTCAACAGTCTGTTTCCCACAAATTAAATTAGTCGTTAAAGTTTAGACTAACGTGACTAATCGGTGTAGGGTAAACTTTGATATCGTTGACAGGTTGCTACGTCAACTTTTTTAGGTAATATTTAACGAAGGAACGTATTTACTATATATATATATGTATGCTGGTTATGTATAATTTACTTCTCCTTCGAATTTCTTAAGTCTTTCTTTTCTGTTATCTCGATCGTGCTTTCAGTCTCTCTTGAGTGACTAAACGTTATCTAATAATTTCGAGAAGTCACTATTAAATATCTGAATATAGAGCCCTAAAAAATATCCGTGTGCGACCATATGGACCTTTTCGAAGAGAAAGTTCGTCTACATGAATCTACAACGGAAGTTGGTGGGCTCATAATAACTAAGTCAAAAGAAAATTTCAAACAACCTCAAAAGTCCTTATTTGGACTTGATAAGTTGGCGGCAAAAAAGCGACAGGAATCTGAGGATCTTAATCTACAGTTTAACAAGCGCGATGTTACTAATAAAGAAAGGTAATGAAGTTTTTGCATAAGATTTACTTTTGTATCAGGTTCTATAGGGAAAGGCGCGTTGAAACCCCTTCCAATCGTGGGGGTGTTAGCAAAGAATATTTCGATTCTCAGGCAAGAAGGCGTGAGCGTGACCAGAAAGAACGCTTAAAAACCGGTCTTGTATCAACATCCAGAAAAATTGGTGAGAACTACTCAGACTCTCGAAAATCATCAGGTAAACTTTAATGTGTAAATACGCAAGGTTACTATGTGTTTTGATGCTACTACGACTTCTTAAAACTCCCCTTGTGGTTACGTAACCGTAAAACACGCGCAGAGATATTTCATCCTGTCTGAATTCTAATTAACAGTAATTCTTTTGTGTACAATTATATCTAAATAAATCGTTTTACAGTTAGATTTATAACATAACTCCTAGATTTCAATGCTTTTAGTCGACGGCTTTACTTCAAATAAGTTCTCACCCACAAGTTATTCTATGTTGAGAAGTGAAGTATACGTACACTTATCATTTTATTGTTAAAATGCAAATCTAAACATTCCTATCCTAACCAACGTCACAACCTCTTTCCTTTACTTGTCCACTGTTAATGGTATCGTCCATTCTGAACTATTTCTTGCAATATTTGTGGCATGTATTTAAGCGTTATTACGCTTATAATTTGTTTGCCAATCACAGTCCCAGAATACTCAAGTTTATCTAAATTATAATTTACACTATTAACCCTTCCTGATAGTATTTCCGGTAATTTCAGTGTAAACTATTCTCAGTGAATCAGGTACATATTTTCAAACATTTTAGTTATTTGTTCTTGGTTCAATTATTTTCACAGATTGTTGATTACGTTTCATATTTCTTGCCGAAGCTGTTTTACTGTACGAATAAACTTTAGAGAAACTATCTCTTAAATAATCCTTTTTTTAATTTCTTGGCAGACTATTCTCGCATTGAATTAGTCAGAGAAAAAGAATCTCTCAGCACTCGACATCGGAGAGAAGCAGAATGGGAAGATGAAACACCTAATCACAGCAGTCGGGAAAATAGAAGTACTACTGGAACAAGTATTAACCGATTTGAAACTCCTGAAATATATAATGTTGGGGGACGGTCTCCAGGACATTCTAGCTGGGATGATTCTGGTTTAGGATCTAGTCGATCTACTACCCCTCGTACTACCGGATCACTAGCTCGTAATTCCAATAATGATCGATATACCTATACTCCTATGCCTACTCCAAGTTTTAAGCATAATTCATGGATGCAATCAAATAAAAATAACACAGGGAGTTCGGACTCCAGAAAACAGCATTCGGGTCGTCATACTCATGGCCAGTCTTATGCACAAGTTTCCAGTGAAAACGAAGGCGATAGTGTGAAACCTGATCCTACTGAGATAGAGGAAGATGGTGATGATATTAAGGCTGAAAATGAACGCTTAGATCGTAATTGGTATCAAATGGATGATGGCTATGATAATGATAACCATCCGTTTTCTGGTAAGTGGTTTGGCCATAGCACTTTTACCAATGAATCCTACTATTCGCCATCATTTGACAAAATACTTTTTTTTATCTAAACACTAATGGTATCTCGCTCATTTAAATATCCAAATAACAATGAAATTCTAATGTGAAATTTTTTAAACCTGTCCACTTTGTGTAACAGCGAAAGTGTAATTTTTTCCTTCAAGTTCAGCCGAATTTGGTTTTCCAAATGATATAGTGTCAATGATAAGTCAGGTTCTTGAAATAACTTATAATTTCTAATACATATGACCTAAGTTCTTCATCAGACGATCTTGGTATCATAAATATTCACTTTCTACTTTTAGTATATGTACTAGATTTCCTACTCCATGGTTGTATTTCATTTATTAAATCCCAAGTATTTAGGATAGTTGAAAATGTAAGCCCGCCACTAAGTTTCAGTGTTTGTGTCACATAATAAATATTTGGTCAATTTGTCAGTCATTGTCAGAACAGTAATATGGAATGTCTAAACTTCACCGCATTACTTTATTAACAAAAAAGGTGTGTAGACCTTTATCCTTTAAGTTATACTGGTTATTTGTCGGTAGTAAATGAGTTTGGAGATTATAATTTTAAAAAATACTAGAAGCAACCCTGATGTTGTCTAGTTTTAGTTTAAACACATCAGCTGCTCATATTTTTGACCTCTTTTTAGGCTGATCCTAGTACCTTGAAGTAAGTACGATTGACCATCAAGGTATTGTGCTGCTTCGGTTTGGGCACCCGGGCAGCATCACAGCCCTCACACATATCGAATGGGATTTGTGTGGCGCATATGTATTTGGTGCCTCCTTGTACCAATGTCTATGTGTTAAAATAAAAAAATAAAAATTGTGCTGCAAGAGTTACAAATTGCGGTAAATCATTTATCAGTTTCACTTAGTTGTTGTAAGTCTATTATAAAAATGATAATCAAAACCCAGTTGTCTTTCCTGCTTACTGAGTTGGTCAGTTCAGTTGTGAACACAAGTTCTTATTTCAGTCTTACTGTTCTTTAACCGATCCTTCTGGCATAACAGAACCTAGAGAAATGATCGTCCTAGCCAATGTGCTTCGATTAGATCATCACGATGAGCAAACGCAGCCAACACGTCAAGGTAGCAGCTACAGTTAACAGCTAAACAACTATTAAAACGGGAGTAGTATACAGTAAACGACCGAACCCTATTCATAAATATCACCTATGAAAGTTACTTTGACAAATCGAACCAACTGAACACATAAATTCACTAATTTTGATATCTGTTGATGGACCTTATTAGTGAGATTTTCTATCTCCATGTCACTCATTCATGTTGTCTCAAGCAATAGACAGTATTCTATATATTGTAACTGTTTTAAAAAAACTATCCCTAGATATTCCTGAAGAGTATGCTGCTAAAAAGGAACGTCAATTAGCAGAACGTAAAAAACGACATAAACAACGCTTAACTGCAAAAGCTGTCCAAGTTCATAAAGATAATCAAGCATGGGAACATAATCGTATGTTAAGATCTGGAGTTGTTCAACGAGTAGATTTTGAACAAGATGAAGATTTCGATGAAGAAGGTGAAGCTAGAGTTCACTTATTAGTTCGTAATATACTTCCACCATTTTTGGATGGACGAATTGTTTTCACTCGTCAACCTGAACCTATTATTCCTGTCAAGGTGAAGTAATAATATTTTTTAAATATATTATTGTTTTTTACTCATATTTTTATCTGCCCAAAGATTAATAACTCAATGTACTATTAATAAGTTAGGTGGTCTTATAGAGATTTGTATTACTCAAATGTAGTTTTCAACTGAAGATCCATTTTAAGTTCGAGAGATTTGGATAACCGTCCCATACTTGCTTAAGACTCCTCACCAGTAAATACCTATTGGGTCAAACTAAGGACCTTGAGATCTTGTGAACAAAATACCTTCAAGTCATCTAGTTTGATTTGTAAACAATCCACCACATCACAAGCTGATCAAAATAAAAAGTTTTAGCCATTGGTTTTCGACTTTATGATTCAAAGATGTCGTACTCATTTTGAGACTTAAAAACCTAGTCTCACCCACGTAAGCTTGTTAATTCTTCAGTCCCCCTTCAATTCAATGGTTTTCTTAACTGACATCAGTTTACAAAAAACAGTTTACTCTTAAATGATACTTGACTTAATATCCCAGCTACATAATCAAGGTTTTTGCACAACATTATTTCTTCAGCAGAAGATGACAATATTTTGATCTCGTTCGTTACTATGTAAATTTCTTTTAGCATAAGTTCTCTTAACAGCACCAATCATCAAATAAATAAAAATATCATAATTATATCTATTTGTAAACTACATTTTGTTTATCACATTCTCTTTTGCATTTTGGCTTTTCAAATTGATTGATACAACTTACGTTGCTTTCTTGTTGACTATTTGCAGAGGCATATAGTCATCTCTGTATATTCTTAATGATTTGAATATTCCACAAGTCGCCGGTGATATTTAATATTGAAAGATTTTTCACCTTTTATTATTCCCTTCTTATCATTGATATGGTCGATTTAAATCATCTTGTCATACGAACTTAGCTGTGGACAGAAACACAGTTTCGTTAATATGGTATACATTGTATACATTCACCAAGATTCTATCATCAATATATTTTTAGAATCTGAACTAGGGAATACCGAGATACAGTTATGCCTTTAAAGTAATTGGTAGATATATTTTACTAAGTCTGAACTGTTTTAAGTTTTTTTCCGTCTGTTGGAAATTAGATCATAGAATGAATATTTATGTGTATTCTTTTGGACCTCTATGAGAGTCACAGTTTATTGTGATGTAATAACATAATTTATTTTTACGACGAGAATATGTCAAATCATCTTGCCATATGCTACTGAATTCTACAAATCGTCAGCAATCTCAGTTCTATTATTTTTTGACATAAGGGGGCAGTACGTTAGAAAACGACAGAACTATCTTGGAACTGTTTTAAAAAATAATTATTATTATGTGTAACAGTTTTTATAATATTGTAAGATTCCATTGATGGTTGATCGAATTCTATACTATAAGTACAGGTATATTGTTTAAAGACATGTTAAGTAATTTTTGTGTTTTTAATTGTAGGACCCAGAGAGTATAATGGCCAAAGTTGCGCAGAAAGGCAGTGCCATTGTGAAATACTTTCGAGAACAAAAAGAACGTAAAAGAGCACAAAAGAAAGAATGGCAATTGGCTGGTACGCGTATAGGGGAAGTTATGGGTATAAAACCTCCGGAAGAACAGGATAATTGGACAGAGAAATCACATCGTGATGCACAGACATTTGCCGATAAAGTAGGAGATATGAAATCTGAAGCAGTTAGCGAGTTTGCTACACGAAAAACCATTGTGGAACAACGACAATACTTACCAGTATTTTCCGTAAGGACATCCTTACTGAGAATGATTAAAGAACATCAAGTAGGTTCTTATCATTAGTTATCTATGTTTGACAGTAATTTAAATATTGAGACCAGTAAACTGATTGTAATTCACTTCATTTTAATTGTTAGCTACATTCTGTTGTTAGATATCGTCATCATTATCTTTTCTCGATGATGTTATTTGCTAATGTTGTACAGTTCTGTTCATACTTATTTTTGATATATAGTAGTTATTATTAAAATAGGGGGTGTCGCGTTATTAAAGAAGTTATGGAGCATTTCTAGTGTATCAAATACAGTTTGTGTAGCAGTCTCAAAAACCATGTGAAGCAGTAAATTGACAATATTTCATTGAAGTGTAAAAGATAGATGTCAACTTAATAAATGGAAGGCGAATAAGCAAACAATTGGAAATCGCAACATGTATGATTAGAAGGGCTTTTAAGAACATGATAAAATAAGGTAATAGACATGTGTCTTTTGAACACAGAACTCGGGGTTGAATTGTACTCTCCATTGCTCTAACCTTAAAGGTGGCCTGGGAGCTAAGATGTTCGCTTTTTAACCGTTGGACCTCAGGTTAGAACTACATTTTTGTTATGTTCACCTACTGTCTAGTATTTCCTAATCACTTTGCTTCACTTGACTCTTCCTAAGTCAGAATGAGAATTAAGAGCGAACAATGTGTATTTCGACAACATGAACAGCAAAGATGTAGTGGTAAAAAGAAATCTAGAGTTTGGATAGGATTTACATGCGAATCTTCTCTATTCTTCCACTAGCGCTGATTGGTTGAAAATGCTGAGGTCTTGGTGTAGAATGATTAATTGTAAAAGTATGAAAAGTATGTATAAAAATTCACCCATCTCTACACATGCAGGTACATCCAGCCGACGAGTCTCAAATAGAACGAAACGCGCATCCTGGTTTCCACAGCTAGCCACTATCCATCTTTGCTTATAATACTTGTGAATTAAAGCTATATCAAGGCAATATGCACAGTATGCACATATGCTAATAAGAGAGTGATCAATTGCAGTCCTAAATATCAATGGGAAGATTCAAATAAACAATACCAAATGAACGTATTTTCACATAGTTGTACAATATGTGGAGTAACATATAGAGAGTAATATATCGGGTAACAACCCTATAGATTAATTCAATTAGGGTTATTGATAATAGCGTATTTGTAAGTCGATCAAACATCAAACAGATACGATTAGCACAACCCAGTACCTGGAAGACTTTATTACTACATAAGCAAACAAATAGTTAGCCATCAACAACTTGGAGCGTGGTATAAAAGTGCGTTGACTCAGGTTGCCATACCACATCATCACAATTAAACGAAATTAGTAAGATGAATTACTAAAGAGATTAGAATAATGTAACAGCAGTGGCAATGTGAACCGCTAAACATTTTGATTGTATTTCAAAAAGACAAAAAGGAAAGGTGTATATTAAGGAATACTGGAACTCAAGGTTTAGATGAATATGGTGAATACATATATGTCGTTGTGACCAGTCCTGATTTATTTCATTCAAAGTATCTAATCACTAAATTCACTTGGTATTGTTTTGTTTGTATCTTCCTATTGAGGTTTACGACTGCAATTGATCAGTCTATTATTGGCATATGTACATACTGTGCGTATGCCTCGATATTGCCTTAATTCACAAGCTTTTATAAACAAAAATGGGTAGTGGCTAGCAGTGGAATCCAGGACGCGCGTTTCGTTCTATTTGAGACTCTTCAGCTGGATGTACCTGCATCTCAGAATTGATGTTCACTCTGGAACTCAAACCCAGTACTATTCGCTTCAAACACCATCGCGTTATCCATTCTGGATTCCAGTGCTAGCCACTATCCATCTTTGCTTATCTGACCACTAGTTTAAATAATCACGCAAACCCCAGCAAAGTCGTCTATTTCAAATGACACCTCGATCCAACAGTCAATAACTTCATAGATTGCTTTGTCTCACGCAGCCCCAGCTTTATATAAACTTACTCCTATGCCAGTAATCACCGCTCAATAGAGGTAGCAAACAAATAGAAATGATCAAAGTCATGTAAACAGTTTTCGACGTCTTGTGGTCCTCTTGAAATTATTATGAGACAGTAACCGTATTCGGTTTATACATTTTTATTCTCATAGTTAAAATAGTTAAATATATCAACTTGCGAAGCCTATTGATGTAGTTTTTTTCAATCTCTGATATATACTTCAATGTACGTAGTAGACAATCTCGTGTGGAAATTCTTTTTCATTTAAACTAGATTGTAGTGATTGTTGGCGAAACTGGAAGTGGTAAAACTACTCAATTAACTCAATATTTACATGAAGATGGTTTTACAACTTATGGCATGGTTGGTTGTACTCAACCACGTCGTGTTGCTGCTATGTCTGTTGCTCGACGAGTTGCTGAAGAAATGAATGTACGTTTAGGTGAAGAAGTTGGTTATGCTATAAGATTCGAAGATTGTACTTCTTCTTCCACTCTAATTAAATATATGACTGATGGAATTCTATTGCGTGAGTCACTACGTGAATCTGATCTTGATCCATACTCTGCAATTATCATGGATGAAGCGCATGAAAGGTCTTTAAATACTGATGTATTATTTGGATTGTTACGTGAAGTAAGTTTCCTCCTTTTTAAAAGGTTCAACATAATAAATATTATCCTGCTTTGGTTTGGGCACCCGAGCAGTATCACAGCCCTCACACATATCGAATGAGATTTGTGTGGCGCATATGTATTTGGTGCCTCTTTGTACCATTATCTATGTGTTGAAATAAATAAATAAATAATAAATAAATATTATAGTTTGAATATCATTATTAGTAAGGGTTTGAATTATCCTGATGTTGATATTCAAGACTGAATAGTCAGTTGCTGTATGAACTCAGTAGCTTAGTATATAATGCCTTTGGGTGTGAAGCAGAGGGTACTGAATTCGACTGTCAATAAAAACCTCAATATTAAGGTACAGGTACATCCGGTCGAGGCGAAATGTGCCTCCCAGAATCGATCACAATGGCGTCGGTGTATACGCTCTTTGTCTTCCCTTAAACCGTGAGATTAAAATTGCTACATATCTTTCTTTCTACTAACTAATTTTTTCTTCCTGTACTATATCCTCATTCATAATCTTTCTTTTATATATTATTACCATTGAATTAACTGCGTATATGAATTTTGTGTACATCTTGTTGTGCTAATGAGGTGTGATAACTTGGACCGATGAATATATGTGCCTGGTCCTACGTTGTAGCTGACTGACTGACTCCTCAGCAGTGCACATCCACGATCTCGCACAGGAACTCGAACCCAGGACCTTTGGTTTCGCGCGTGAACGTTCGACCTCTAGACCACTGAGCCGCCGTCCAGCGGTGTCAGTGTCTAACTCCAATCGATCCATGATCTTTTGCGACCCTTCATCCATTGTCTGAGGTAGAAAACTATCTCATACCCGACATGGTTTGGACTCCCCCCCCAGTGAGTACAAAATTATATTTTCGACGTTGCGTGATCTAACGTAAGCCACTTTTTCAGAGTAAATGAATGACTGGATTTATTCAGTTCTTGAAGAAAAGATGGTAATTTTTATTGTACATCGGTCATTCATTATCACCTTAGCAACTTACTATATTGACAGTCTATGAAGTTGATTACGTTTGTTATATAGCATTTGATAAATAGGGTTTCTTAAAAATACTTTTTTATAGGTCTAAAAGACTCTCTATTATTTGTAAAGGCTTGTATTCTATCGTTGTTTACGTACAAAACCTCATTCAATCAGTCATGTTTGGCATTTGGGGATCTTGAGCGGATATCTCGATATTGTGTGTAGCTACAACATGACTAATAAATATTTTGAACAGTGGTTAGCATAAGATAAAACGCGGGTGTTTGAAGCTATCTGTACCAGGTGAAAGTCCAAGTGTAAATATCAGTACTGAGGTCCAAGTGCATCCAAATGATAACCAGTTGTAACTAACGTATCGTCCGCCGAAAGTGTGCGTTGGTACAAACTGCCATTCCACATCAATGGGAAGAATCAAATTTAAAAAGATAAAGAGCTGAGGAATCAGAATAATGTAGCAGTAATGAAAAGGGATAAACATTGAAAATGTGGTTCGGAAATACAAAATGAAAGAGTGTCTATGAAGGAATACTGGAAATTAAGATCTGGATGAAGATGGTGAATCGATACACGTCATTGTGATCTATTCAAAGTTTCAAACTCCTTATCGGAGTTATTACTCTGACCCTGACCAGGTGGTCTTAATCTCCCTAAACGGCCTACTTGTATAATCAATGACGTCATGGACTGATGCCACATTTAGGGTTTGGGCTTCTAAGCTTTCTTCCGGCTCACTACTACATCAGTTGACAATGTAGATAGAGATACATGATGGTTAGGCACACGTAACACCTGTCTCAACAACTTCGGGTTTTCAAAATTCGTAACCTTATCAACCGCTTTACCAATATTGCCTAACCTCAACATTGCTTACGTAGTCGTTACACAATATGTCCTATGATAAGATCCAGCTGATGAGTCGCAAATAAAATGAAACACTCATTCTAGGCTAGACTGCTAGCTACTCAGTCAGTCAGTAACAACGTAGAACTTCGTACGTACATATATCAGTTCGAGTCGCCACACCACATAAGCACACAGATGCAGTGGTCGATTCAAATCCCGTAGTGGTAGAGGTAATAAGAGTATATGCAATAATCGGAAAGATTAGTGTTTGGAGATGTTACTTAAAGAGTATAATACAGTGAAATAAATTTGGGAAGAGAAAAAAAGAGACAAGGAGGAATAAGGAGATCAAAATTTGGGAGAACACAAAGAGTGGATGCACCTGCGCCATTGAAAACGATTTTGAGCCATGCCATTCAGGGTTTCTAACCATCGGTTGCTATCATCTTGCGGTCCCCAACCAGATAGTCTACACCTACCAACATGACTCAGTCCACTTGTCAGTGACTTCATAGACTTGTGCCATGTTTTGGTTTGGCCACCCCTAGCTTTCTTCCAACCTACTCATATACCACTGAACATCGCACGTTGAGGCAGTCGGTCGTTGGGCATACGTAACACGTGTCCCAGCCATCTCAACTGATGAAGTTTCACCACTTCATCAATTGATTTGCCATCCTTACCTTACTATCCAAAATGTTATCTAAGAAGCCTGTTGGGCATTATATATAACAGTTGGAAATCTTAATTGTTTTCCCACCGAACTCGTAAATTAGTGCGAACTTGTTTCGTAAATACCCTATTTGTGTTTTTAATGGTTCTCCGAGTTCGATGATCTAATTACAGAGCTTTCATTTATTATTTATTTATTTATTTGAACACATAAATATTGGTACAAAGGGGCACCAAAGACATGTGCGCCACATAAGTTGCTTGATGTGTGTGTGGACTATGATACTACCCGGGTACCCAAACCGAAGCAGGTGGTTTTCTTAGGAGTTCATACCCCAAGCCTTTGGCCTAGAGGCCTAATCCACAAGGTAGTGGAGCAACATAAGGGGATGCAGTCCTAAGGCAGCCGGTGACCAACGATTTGTTCATACACCATTTGTTCCCTCAGGATCCTGGAGTTCATGAGCACCATTGGTGTGCAATAAGGCTTTTATAACTTCCCTAAGTGGAATCTCCACATCCACCAACCCGGGTAAAGCTCCGAACAATCGCTTTTCGTCCTTTCAGTTTTGTAAACAACACCCTCGCTGCGAGAAAGCAGTAAGTAGGACTTCCCTGACCGGGAAGGTCAGTTATTACAAAGTCGTTCCCGTCGTAATTATTGTTATCGTTACTGGACTTTAAAAAATACATTTAATTATAGACATTGAAATGATCTCGCGAATTCCCAATCAATTAACAATAATTGTATATATTATTTACTACTTCATTTTAGCTGTTATTCATGAACGTCATATTACAGTATTAGAATTGTAAATCTTCGTATTTTTCAAAAGTTTTCACTCTGGAGAAATAATCAGATATAGTTTGCAGTCTTTATTGAATTTTGAATCACCACTCTTATTGTTCTAGACTCGTTTATTAGCTTATTTACCCGGCACATTTTAGTACATTTGGCTTCGAGCCACCCTTCAAGTGTAAGAGCCAGTAATGATATCCGGTTGCTTAAGCCAAAGTAGGTGGGGCTGGGTTTGAACCTGAGACTTGGTAGCTATAAGTTGAACGCCTTGGTCGTCAAAGCACCACTGTATTTTGTTTTGCGTAATGTTGTCGTAAATCTATTTTGCCTAATGAATACTGATTAAGTTAATGTGTCTGTATTATTTTCAGGTCGTTAGTAGGCGTAATGATTTACGTCTTTTAATCACTTCTGCTACAATGGACGCAGAAAGATTTGCTCAGTTTTTTGGTGATTGTCCTATTTTTCGAATACCTGGCCGAACATTTCCTGTTGATACACAATTCAGTAAAACAACAGTAATGGATTATGTAGATGCATCTGTGAAACAAGCGATTCAGGTCCATTTAGGTTCACCAACAGATGGTAAATCTTTTTTTTTGTTATAGACATTTGATATCATAATTAGTTTGTTTTTGACTGAATAACGAATTCAATACTGAGGTGAGACTTAGAGTATTAAGTGAAGACAGTAAATTGGATGATGAAAGAGTGAATCGTTATCAACTGGATTAGTTGGGACATGTTACACCTAGCTCGATAGGGGACGTTTACTGATGTAGAAGTAAATTGAAAGGAATCTGGGAGCGACCACTTCAAAACATAACACCGATCCATAAAGTCACTGACTGTTGGACGTCCATGCAGTCATCCGAACCATTAGTTGAAGACTTTGGGTGACATAGCTCGCACAACCAATTACGATATCATTCACCTTATGTCTGTTGTTAATTATTGAGTTTTAAAATTATTTCATTCTTTCTCTTCTCCTCGAATCATTTTGACCATATTTATTTTTTTCTATCATTATTAATATTGTTAATATTCTGATATTTGTTGTGGTGATTCCATTTCACTGTGTTAACTTGGTATAGTAACTTGAACCGATCCACATATGTGTTAAGTTCTGTGTTGGTTATAACTGTAACACAGGTGTGTTGAATTTATCTATTTAATTTTAACTTATTTAACATGAATTATGGAAAAGTAAGTACTATCTGTTTAAATTTTCTTCACGCAGGCTACGTAAAATTAAAACGAAGACTTTTTTTGTAGGTTTGATCCAAATTAGACCTGATATTTCGGACTATTGACAGATGGAACAAATAATGGATATTACTCTCATACTCGTCTATACTTAGATAATCAGTATATTGTTCTTTTATTTACAAAATTTCATTATCCAAGTCTTAAAGTCGATACCAGCGAGGAAAGATTTTGTCTATTGCTGATTCGTCGTAAACTTTTAGATTTTCTTAGTTTACTGCTTATTTGAATGTTAAGTTTTCGTAATTAAAACTTGTGTAATATTTCAACAATTAGTCACGAGTTATATTTATGTTAGAAAAGTCTGGAAGAAATAATTTCTGTAGCATTAAGTCGTTTATTGCTGTAAATGCATTTAGTGTTTCAATCATTCGTTTCTTTTTCATTTATCTAGGTGATATACTCATTTTTATGCCTGGTCAAGAAGATATTGAGGTGACATGTGAACTAATTGCTGGTCAGTTGTTATTACATTTTTCTCATTTGCATCATCGACTGGGCTTAGAAAACTATTGAAAACCAGTCTTGGTATAGGACTCTTCAACAATGTGCATCTAGGAATCCACCAGCGACCCAATTCATGACTATTAAGTTTTTGGGAAAACCGGTTATTTTTTCTATCTTTAAGTTCACATGTAATCGCATACCATTTATAACTTCATCCGTGGTACTGAATGGTGGTTGTGTAATATCAAAAATTGACTTAATTTGTTAATGTTGAACATTGTATGTCAGCTCAGTGGTATAAGTGTTAGGTGTTTATTGCGAGACTTAAAGGCCATATATTCGATCGTCGATAGCGTCTTGGATACAAAGTGCTGAGAATTCCCATAATTAGATGAAATAAGTGTTTAGTACTTTCTCGTTTACAATCGTTATCTAACTAAGGTGTCAGTCTAGTATGTAAACTACAAACTTGAATAATCTCCATAAACCTATAACACTAGTATTTTCTTTCTTTGCATCTTCGCGTGTGCACTGTAATGATTATCATAATAATAGCCTATTGTTATTATTCGACAGTATTAAATACCCTCTCGTTATTAAACTCGAATTCAAATGTTTTTTCATGTTACGTCTACACCGAAGTCTGCTCAAATTTGAGTGTGGCCATTTTTCCAAACATGTGGTTATTATCACAGATCTATTGACCAGTTGCGCTTACGCGACCGAATAGAATGTTTACAACATGTTTTGAATTTAATTAATTAGAAAAAATAACTAAGAAGTCCCACCACGATGGTTGGTATATTTCCTCTAATTGAAGAAACAAGAAATAACTACTATAGAATTCACGCGTAAAATATATTTGACGACGGTAAAATGTTTCACAGAAACAATAAATATGAATGGCAGCTAATCATTGTTTGAACACTTTCATGTATAATTTTTTTAAAGAATATTCACAAGTTAACTGCTTATAAAATGATAGTTTTGTTGTCATATTGAATATTTTATTGCTGAAAATTCCTTACTGTAATCAAACATATGGTAGTAACTAAAGCGAGTCTGGTTATTATGATAATACTTATTTTCCGGCTCTATAAAACCTATCACACCGGTTTGTTTAGACTTTTCGGTTAATACGATTCGACGTCAAACTTTTGCTAAACATATGATAGCAACATATTCGATATATGTGAGACATTGTTGCATAAACATGGTAACAGTCACTCGAAAAGGATAATTAGCAATTGTTTAGATCATATGGAGACAAGGAGTGCCGAAAATCGAGTAGGTCGTAAATAATATTAGTAAATAGTTGCCGTTAGATGTCATATTGAGATAAAATTCTTGTCTAATGATGAATAATGTTGTTCCTGTAGAGTTCTTACCAAGTAAACACTAATTATTTCCTACAAGCGTGATTTAAATAATCTTTTTATCCCATCTGTATTTCACCCTGTTGTAATTTTCAGAACGTTTGAGTAACTTGGATGAAGCTCCTCCACTGTCCATCCTCCCCATTTATTCTCAGTTACCGAGCGATCTTCAAGCAAAAATATTTATGAAGGCTGAAAATGGTGTCCGAAAATGTGTCGTGGCAACAAATATTGCTGAAACCTCATTAACTGGTAGATTGTTGTTATTTTATGCTTTCTTTTTGACGTTTAATTGAACGAATTGTGTATATCTGTCAGGATCCCCAACATTGAAGTAGACCAGTCTGTTAAGTTGAATAGCTTCATACTGTCCAATTACGAAAGATGAATCATACTGGAAAAATTACTTATTATTATAATATTTTCCTAGAATTTACATATCTTGAATAGTGATCCGAGGAGTTATTCGTACTTAATATGGCCAGTTTATGACACGGTGCTGTGATATAAAAGAGGCTGTATAGTACTAGCATCTGTCGGTTTATTGCTACTTCCTAACTTGGAGTCTTAGAAACAGCGCAACTCAGTGGCTTGAGACATCGTTAGACATGTCTCAGAATAGAAACCATCAATAATCTTGCTGTAATTTTCTTTTACACTCTTTATAAAGGTAACAGGAAGTTCATTGAATGAAAGTTTTTCTTTGGCATATTTCTTTCTATTATTCCTAATGATTTGATCAATGTTTTAAAAGAAAAATTATATCGATCTGTTATGATCAACATGCACATTAATCCAAGTCGCTACACCACATCCAACAAAGCAAGAGAAAACTAAACATTAACACTTTGAAATAATACAAATATTAGTGGTCGTAAGAAAAAGAAACTAAACATATTGAATATAGTTTAAAAATCAGTAATATAATCCCGAAACAGAAAGCGTGGAATAATGCTAAACCTTATTAATGTAGAAGAATATAAAAAGTGAATGCGACTGCTCTTGTATCATATCACACAACATCTTCAGCCATTCATCACGATTATCTCGTGGATCTCATTGAGGTAATACCATACATTTATCGACACGGTTCAGATCAATAGTCAATAACTTCATAGACTTATGATACTCTTTAATTTAGTAATTGCTAGCTTTCCTCTGTCTTACAATCTCATTTCTTTAGAAGCATGCTGAGTCGTAGTTAGTCGAATTACACAGGGGTTTACAATCCCATTTTTTGGTATGAGTTAAAATGAAAGTACCAGCAAAAAAATCAACAGAATAATTAGCAGAAATAAAAAAAATCTTTGTGTTACAAAAAATTTATTCATCAAATCACACTCCCTGTTATTTCGTCTAATCGTGTTACTAGATCCTGTTTTGATATCTCCTGAAAATGGCAGAATATATATATGTATATTCATAACCGACTCAGTGGTCTAGAGGTTAAGCGTTCGTGCGTGTGACCGGAAGTCCTGGGTTCGATTGTCGTGTGCAGGGTCCAATACTAGGCCGAAACGGCTGTTCAGTGGTTCCAGGTTTTTCGATGTTGGTCTAACGTTGATCGGTTCATAATTTCAATCAAATTCAACAATCCCTACAACCTTTAACTGATATTCATACATCACTTGTCTTTTGCTTCTTCCTTACATTTTGCACATTTTTCCTCAAATCTCTCCATCATTATTATTTCATATATTATTCAACGTAATGAAAAAAAGTAATAATTTGAACCAATGTTTTTTGTATATGATTTGATTTTCAGTTGATGGGATACGTTATGTGATCGATTGTGGTTATTGTAAATTGAAAGTTTTCAACCCTAAAATTGGTATGGATGCATTACAAATATTTCCAATTAGTCAAGCTAATGCTAATCAACGTGCTGGTCGTGCTGGTAGAACTGGTCCAGGGTAGGTATTTTATAGACTTCAGTTAGGAAAAATACTACCATAAATCGAATTTAATCTGTTTTGTAAGGACATGTGGTATGCTTTAACCGTTTTATTTGGTATTTACAATATTTTCAGTCGATGCTTTTGTATTCTCCCAACTGGGAAGTTATGTATGGAAAGTTTCATTGTTGTTCTGGGCAATGTCACCAGCTCTTACTTTACGTAGAAATGAGATGTTTAGTTAATAATTCATAAGCGTTAAATCACTCAGTTCTGATGAGCTTGTCTGTGAATGGTTGTTTTCGGAGGTGTCCGGTTACCTTTATTTACCTTTTTATTCCTGTCGAGTGTTTTGCTATGTTGACTCAGGGTTACGTAATTGGTTGTTGACTATTTCTGTATAGTTTAGTGAGTGTAATGGATCTCTATATTTTCATTGATCTAACTGCCATCCATCCAGAAATTCTCTCGAACTCTTTGAGTCTCATCGATGTTTTTTCAGTCGACTTTCTGCCTGTAGTTTTCCGCGTCCAATGATATGGGTGATAATATGTCACGTTGTTTTTCTGTCATTTTGTTTTCGTGTGTGCGTAGATAGATGGGTTGTCCACTGTAAAGTTCGTATCAGTTGGTAAGTTAGTGGATGATATTACATTTGTAATCTCTTAATGTTGTCTTTTGGTCAGTATAAATCACCCAGCTCAGAGAACACAACGTAACTGAAGCTATCCACCTAAGTTATAAATCTTCATTATAACAGATTGCATCTAATAAACACTCTCCATCCTTATTGGTGATAATTTTATACTGTAGTTTGCACGCCATCGAAGCTGAGTATTAATGAGTGTTGAAAAGTTACCCGACAACCACATTTGTATGTTAAGTATCAATCTTGTTTTTCAGGAAGAATTTTTACTTTCAGCAAATCTACTATGCTGTGTCTCTTTCAATATTGATTATAAATATTTCAATTAATGATTGTTCTTATCGGCAACTTTCTCGAAATATAACGTCACTAACACTTTCAGTAATCTTTCTGTTAATTTAGTAAATAACTAGTGCATATTTTTGTAAGTCATTTCACTTCAAGCCATAACCTTAACTATATTTGTGTTTTTCATTATCCGGCATTTCGGGTTACACTTCACTTGACATTTCTGCCCAACTAGTTCTTTATGTTTTAACTATGGTGAATATTAGCTCGTTTTATAGGCATAACTTTCTGATATGACAATCCATAATATACCAGTTTTTACTTATTCGTTGGTTTTACATTTGCTCTCCGTTATATACAAACGAAGAATAGATGAATGGTAACTGCTAGGAATTATTTATGAACTGTTATTACATATATTCTTATTGGGTAATTATTAAGTAACTAGATTATATGTATATTCATAATCCTTCTATCATAAGCTTTCATTTGACCTATTGGCTACTGTTATACGATTTGCTATTCTTAAATAAATCGCGTATGTCTGAAATATACGATTCGTATAGTGGAGGCTGATATTTCTGTTCTGGACTGAACGGGATGGGCTAGGCGAGAAGTTTCTATATAGAGGACCAATAAGGACTCGGAGTTGACTCAAGGCTGCTAGTGCTTTTCGATGGATCATTGGTTTAGCCCCGGAGACAAGGTCACAGAAGTTGGTATTCTGACTGTCAAATTTGTCACATGATATTTGACAGGTCATACAACATAACACTCTCATCTTCAAAACTTATAACAACCACAGTTCTAAGAAAGTGACTTATCCACTAGGTGTTTTGTTGTTAATATATTCCGTAAGTGAAATTCCAACAATCAATCTCACATGTTGAAGCTAGTTTTTTCTGAAACTACATTTACTCACTGATTTATCATTAAATTTTTAATGATATTACAAATTTTTATGTTTATTCTTTCCAATTATACATTTTGTTTTTAGAGTGTGTTACCGTTTATACACTATAAGTCAGTTTCAAGATGAAATGCTTATCACATCTGTTCCAGAAATTCAGAGAACTAATCTGGCCAATGTTGTTCTCTTATTAAAATCTTTGGGTGTTCAAGATTTAATGCGATTTCATTTCATGGATGCTCCTCCACAGGTATATCTGGTTTACCAAAAATTTATAAATCGAAAATTCCTTACAGTTTTGAAATTTTATTGAAAGTGTTGAGAAAAATATGTAAAACATATTTTTAGTGTTTGTATTGAACTACTAAGAGCTGTTTGGGAATTCACTTTTAAAAGAGTGCACTCACTCATCCCATTTATCGTCTATTCTTTATGATTAACTTGAATATTCCGCTTGTTTATTCAATTCTCAAACTACTCTCATACTATAGGCTCGAATCTTTCTCCTTGTTACACAGTTTTAGTTAGCTAGAGGTGTTAACACTAATCATGGGATAAATTACGTATGACTCAAAGTATTCTAGTTATTTCAACTATAATGGTTTTATTCTACTAACATTCCTAAATTATTCATACGATACTATTTTATAAAAGATATACTTGCCGTAAAGTTGGTCATTATTTCAGATCATTAGTTTGTAATTTATAATCGTAGTACTCATAAGTTACCATATTTGACTCTTCTTTGATATTCTAAGTAGTTTTGCTTTAGAAATACTGCTTGCATGTTAAAACCATTAAAAAGAAATAATCGAACAAAAAAATTCTGTTTCTATGTGTTTACATTGTTACAATTTATTGTTTTTTTTTGTATACCTTAATTGGAATTGGGGTGCATTGTTCTGAATATTTGTAGGATAACATATTGAATTCAATGTATCAACTATGGATTTTCGGTGCTCTTGATAATACTGGTAGTTTAACAAATTTAGGTCGTCAAATGGTTGAATTTCCATTGGATCCAGCTTTGTCTAAATTATTAATTATTTCCTGTGATATGAATTGTTCTGAAGAGATTCTGACCATTGTATCAATGCTCTCTGTGCCAAGTGTATTCTACAGACCAAAAGGTCGTGAAGAAGAATCAGATAATGCAAGAGAGAAATTCCAAGTCCCAGAATCTGATCATTTAACACTATTGAACGTTTTCACTCAATGGCGTAAATCAGGTTATTCATCAGCATTTTGTGCAAAACACTTTTTACACTTAAAAGCTATGCGTAAAATTCGTGAGGTTCGACAACAAATGAAAGAAATCATGGAACAACACAACATGAATTTACAATCGATCGGCAGTGATTGGGATGTTGTGCGTGAATGTTTATGTGCTACTTTCTTCCATCAAGCTGCTCGTATCAAGGTAAAGTCTGAATTACGTCTTTTATATTTTCTTGTGGAATGATCACTTGATTTTAAGGAAATAGGATATTGACTTTAATGTTTCTTTTTTTCACATATTTCTACCGGTGAAGAATTCTTCTAGTCGAATCCCATCTAAACCTATTTGAAAAATTTTAAACGGTTATATTGCTTTGTATAAATTAGTGAACTGGCAATGATTATGTGAATTCGGGGCTCCTGTAACACTTAAGTAATCAATCACAGTGTTTCAAACAATGTTTCTGGAGATTACCTGATGAACCATTAAAAGCCAAAGAGCATCGAATTTACATGTTGCATCCTAATTTATAATACTTTTGCTGAGCATATTCTCATGGCTGAACAGAGAATCAATCAGTGAACTTGTTTTCTTACTATTTCATAAATCCACTGAAACTGACCACATGGATTACCGTGTTCTGTTTATGATCAAAATTTCACAAGTTCTATTCTGTTTCGAATTGGTATTGATATATTGTTAAGAATCTGGTCAAAAACTAGTACAAAATATTTATCGTCGACTACTGTCTTGTTTTCCAACTGCTATCCTTTCATGAGGACAACTAACTTCATATCATCATTTTATTTAGTGTAGTTCAAAATAACCTAGATATTTTATAAATTAATTTCAAATTAAGGTGATCAATGCATAGCATCTTTAGACTACTCTTTTCTGCATATAGATTTTGAGCTGTATTATGGCGAATCCATATACATATGGATTAGTTTGTGATAAAATTGCCAAGAGTATGCTTTGATTTAGATAACACAAGAACAGAGATCATAACTGTCGAGTTTTTATAACGAGAAAATAAAATTTGTCGGGAAGAGATTTAACGAGCGGTTGTGTTGGACATATTTAGGACTCAATTTATAGACAATAATTTCATTCCCGGGTCAATGTTTTTCTTTGTTCATATAATATACCCGTATCACATTGAATAGTTAATTCATGGTTGTCACCTCAGATTATTATTTAATTTTTTTGTTAAGTTATTCCCACATTGTTGAGTAAATTTACGAATAAACCTCTGAACAAACCTATTCATCAACTTGTTCTTCGAGTTTCTCTACTTTTAGCATGTTAATTAAATGTTTACTTGAAGCTCATTACACTGTATTCAAAATTTCTGCAGAGTTTCAGCAATGGACGTTTCTCATTATGTTGAGGAAGAATTCTCATCGAAAATGACGCTAAGGCTTTAGTTACTAAAAGATAGTAAATAGTGCATGATTGATTTCTCTCAGTTTTTTTCTTTTTTTGGTTAAGTACTGTATGTCATCACTGATTAAGTCCAAACATGTAGAGATTAAAACTGTTTTCACCAATGACATATCGTTATGTGGCAAACAGATTGGAATTCGACTCAGTGGTTCTAATGATTAAGTGTCAGTCGTAAGACTTGAAGCTTCTAGTCTCAATCTCCAGTATGGTCGTGGGTACCTACTGGTGATTTGTCCCATAACAGGATGAATTAGCTGTTCGGTGCTCCTTGATGCCTAATACTACTCCAAATAGTAAGATAAATCTTTGATCAACACAACTCTTGCTAATTATCGTGATTAATCATGATGTATGATCTAATGAGTTTCTTACTCACATGATGATTAATAAATTTCTTCAGTACTTTTCATGACACAAAAGTTTTTTTGTAAACAAAATCAATTTTTCAGGGTTTAGGTGAATATGTGAATTTACGGACTGGTATGCCTTGTCATCTACATCCAACTAGTGCTCTATATGGAATGGGTTACACTCCAGACTATGTTATTTATCATGAATTAATTATGACAACAAAAGAATATATGCAATGTGTTACATCTGTCGATGGTAATTGGCTAGCTAAAGTTGGTCCTATGTTTTACAGGTAAATTAAATTGACATTTCCTAATGTTTTTGTTTTTCGATCAGTATGTGGCTAAAATCGTATTTGTAGCATGAGAAGTTTGTGGAGATTGTTGAGCTTCATAGTTTACAACATGGATTGACCTTAGTCAGATAGCCTTTAAAAACCAGAACTCACTGAACAATTGTTTCGTCTTGCTAAGGGTTCCTTCAGCAGGATATACGTACGACCCTACCTGGAATCGAAATAACTTTCTGGTGCTTCCTGCTCTTCAAGCGTTATCTAACTAAGGCAAACCCCTATTGGATGCTATAAATTCATATTTTATTGTGTGCATTGTAAAGTGATTCGATGGTTATCAGTATAAGAATAGAAGTAGGAGTGTCAAGGTGATATGAATACAGTTATTATGCCATGTAGAATATATTGTAATAAAACTATTCTTCGTTGCAAAACTGATAACGTAATTGGCTTTTCTGACCTTTACTAATCCACACTATTAAATGCTTCCGAATACGAATGAGTGACCTCGATGGATGACCTGCATAGCTAGCTTCGCAGGCGCAGTTGAACTGATAGCATAAAATGACACAGCTCCCCTTTTATATGCGCCTTTATATGTAAGATAAGTTGCCAAGACTGACAAATTCAATGTTCATACACTAGTTATCTTGTTCTAACTCAGCTAGGTATGTTGGTCTTTCCTCGAGACCACTTCGCATTCGGGAGTACCTACCAGCGTGGCATAAGTACAAGTTAAATTAAGTCATTTAAATCATTGATTCTGCAAAGAGTAGTGGACACGACATCCGGATCCCGACGTATCCTTTAATATAATTAGCAAAACTGATTCTCTTTTGATCTCATTTTATGGTTTAGTCGTAAAATTTTTTTAATTTAATGAACAATATTCCCTACATAACAAGGGTGAACTTCTTTGTCGTTCCCTACCCTTAGTTTCCCATTCTCTGTTAAAGCTTTACTTTGTGGTTACAATGGAAATAATACCTTGTATAATTAGTATGTTTTCATATTATAGTTGATCTAATGTTTATGCACACCCTTATTTCTAATAGGGTTACAACACAATCCCAGTCCAACTACTATTCAGTTAGTCTTATTCACCTGGTACAATTTATTGCTAATGTTATGCTATGTGTAACACATTCACTCAATACACTTTTTCCACTTATTTTTCAGTGTTAAAGATCCTAACCTTACTCGGTTGGAACGAAAGCGACAAGCTGAAGAACAACTCGTAGAAATGGAAAATGAAATGCGTCTGGCTGAAGAACAGCTTTCTCGTCGACGTGAAGAACTTTCAGCATCTATTGGTTCAAGTCGTTTGTAAGTAAACCATCTGTTCATTCTTGTTTAGGATAATCTTGTTTCAATATTTTTTTTCTTTTCCAGTTATCCTAAATAGTCACTCTGCATTTAATTGACTAAAGAGTAGTGACCAATGTTATCTGGTTGGATTTTATCGGTCAACTTGTAATGCAGCTACTAGTTTGACTGACTCGACTTTGGGCGTACTATTTTTTAAAAAGCTAAATGGTTGAACGTAGTTGACAGGAAACCTTGAACCTAGGTCTTGTACTTATTGGGATTCGTCCTCATTAAGGAATACGTGCAATCTTGTGGGATTTAATGCTCCATGTGAACTTAGAAACCACGTCACTCAGCTTTACAGATTGAGACGTTGCCACTAAGGTAATCGCTCCTCAGCTGACCTCTTGTAGAACTGAGATATTTACAATTGATTGGTCACTAAATGGTGACCAATATTACCTTTGTCTAGTCCTCTGGTGCTGATTACCTACCATCAACCTACCTACCATTTCAATGTCATCACTGTGTATTATTAAACGCTAGGAAGTCGTAGCTGTATATACCCATTGATGAGTATTGGTGTAATAAAAAGCGTATGATAATTTTAACACCTAAAATCTAAGGATAGATAAAGAGTGAATACATCTGCGTCATTGCGACTGATTGTAAGCTATTCCACTCGATGTTTTCAGTCATTAGTTACGATAATCGAGCGAACTCTTACAAGGTAATCTTTATCCAACTACACGGCTCAGTTCAACAGTTAACAACTTCATGTAGTAATGCTACGATTTAGTTTGGCTGCTTTACAACTTTTTTCCCCAACTTGATTCTTCACCAGCAACTACCTCTCGCTGAAGTATTTTTTGCTTATCCTCTCCCTCCCTTCCCATGCCTTCAAAAGTGTTATTTTACCTTGTATCAAAAACCTTTTGTTGTCTCTATTGTATATGAGTTTCACGTGATTTTTGTAAAGAAAAAAGCTTAAAATATTTTCCTCCACTTTCTTTTTATCTCTCTTTTCTACAGGCGACCAATAATTACACCTGGTATGCGCACTCCTGGTACTCCTTTGGTGTCTAAACGTCCTGGCAGTAGACTTGGTTTATAATCATATCTGTTGTACGATTATTAATTAATGTACATAATTTATTTTTGTAAAATATTTTCAAATATAAATTAAAAATTCATCTTTCAAATATATTTATCTTACCACGATTTGTCTTCTTATTCTATTATTAATATTATTATTATTAATTACAGTAATCTATATATGGTACTTGCATGTATAGTTGATCTGATTGTTTCGTAGTTACACCTAAATGGATTATTTCTGTAAGAGTAATCCTTTATCAAATAATTCTCTCATTTGATCTAATACAACTTCGATATTATACATACCTTGTGATGTTTGCTAAGTACAGGGTTATTGTAGAGATTGTAATAATTTCAATAGTTGAGATCATAAGTCAATTGAAGCTAGACCACTATGGAAAGCCTGGAAGCACTGGACAAGCATATACTTTATGATGTTAATCATTTCATTTCATACTTCTTAACTAGGAAATCAAATTAACAAGATAGATATGGTTTGTTTAAAACTAGAAATATAGATCTATTAACAGCAAAAAAAACTAGTTCAACCCTTAATATCAAAATGATGTTATATTTGTAATATCCCAATGAGTAGAAAGATGAATTTTTGATATTTCATGACCTAGTGTAAGTAGTAAAACTACTCATTGGGATATCATAACTATATCATCATTTTACTGTGAACATTCTATTCACTGTAGAGTTCATTTTAAATTGTCAGGTTTAGTAATAATACCTAAAGGTGTGTCTAGAGTCTTAAAGGTAGACAAACAACTGTTTCTCGACACTTTTAGATTTCTGAAGTTCTGTAAATTTGTGGAACGATTTTGTTTTTGCTGGTATTATATTCTCTAGGTCAGTTTGTTTAGTTGGGGAGCGTTCAGTATTTTCTTGGACAACATCATTAGCGCTTTCACGAAATAGCCCCTGATGATGAACACAAAACTACAAAAAACAATCACCTGAGCTGTATATCTTCTCTATCATTGCTCTTCATTTATATTCAGCGTTGTTTTGTTGGTTGTATGCACGATTGTTCTATACAATGTTCTAATAAGCATATGAAATAAGTTTTTGAAGATAATTAAGAGTGAGTTAGATTCACCGTGTTATTGTTATTTGGTTGATTGTCTCAAGTGACGTAACAATCACACAACGTAATTATCAAACTAATTTCGATTTCTGTGTGTAAATTTTAGCTGAATAAGAGTAATTATATATGGTCTAGTAGATGTGACTCGTGTTAGTGAACGCACATTAATTGATTGGAGCCCTCACAACCAGTGGTTAAAGATAATGGCTGTTATAACTCGGAATCGGTTATCACAGTGTTAAACATTCATCCACTCTTTGTCTTCATGTAGAATTTGAGCTTCTTCATTCCTATATATATACCTTTTCAAATAATATTTAGTCTTTCTCATTATCAATGATACTATTATTAGTTTAACTCTTGTTTTTCTTCTCGTACTGATGTGATATAACAACTTGGGCTAACGCGCATTTGTGCTAGTCTCTATGTTGATTATAACTGATTGAATAAATGTAATGAGGCCACTGATTATATTGTAATTTAAAATTAATCTGATAGACACAATAGGTCATTTAGCTAAATTAGGTTTCAAAATGTTACAAGGATTTATAATTGCAGACGAAACTGCCGAAATTTTTTAAAATCACTTATATTTCATCACCGACATTCAGTACATCTTCCCTATATTCCAATGACTTTGAGCTGTAAGGATATATTAAATGCTGCTACATGTTTGCAATTTCCGTACTGACTGAATTGATTTTGATCATGAAAATAACCATATGATTAGTAGGCATTCTAGATATCTGTATCATGTATCATTTCACTCTAATAATAAGCGTTGAACCTAGTCACGTTATGTACTAATAGCTAAAAATGACTATATATATAGAAAATACTGTCCGTTATTTTAAGAGTAGTTTATATTAAGCTGTTTATCATATTAATTTATTCTATCATTGGTTTTCAAATTCTCAGTTTCTTTGTGTTTTTTTCGTCTTCAGCTGAATAGTGAACATTACCAGCGTACTTATTTTGTGTGGTATTACTTCATCCTAGACTACACTTAACATATCTTCCGAATTCTTTCATCTTCATTCGTCATAGTGTTTAGTTGTGACCTTTTTTTAGATATACTAAGTTTTAATTTCGGTAAACGTATAATATACTAACAACTTGGAGGGATTTATCAGGCAATCAGGAAACGCTGCCTAGATACAAAACAATTGACAGAAAAGAGAAAAAAACTATAACAGTGGAATAATAGCTTTGATCTCAATAATCAACCTTCAGATGCCAAATTATTCTTCGTAGTAAATGGAAAAGGTTAGGTTTTGCATATTACGAATCGGGCTAATGTTATAATTCAAGGCTATCACTCCATAGAGTTTTTGTCAACAATTGACACCGACGATAATGCATAAAGGTCAGGATGACGTATTAAGAGTGAAGCTGGAGTTCTGAGATGGGTTTACAAATTAAGGTTAAGATTTTCATCATAAACTGACATTAGCTATGATCCAATGCTTTGTCACCCTTTTGTTTACAAACTTGAGAAACTTAGGTCTGGGATTTAGAGTGAGTATGAAAAGGAAACATTACTTAGCGTCACCAAACGTTTTTGACTACACAATCGATGACGTAACTATTTTGACACAATCTTCCTTAGAGTAGATTCGTCATGTAATTTAGCATAAACACCACCTAAGATTTACGTTATCGTTGCGTAATGCGTATTCTTATTGATTTAAAACACTCCAAAAACCAAATATCGTCATTTTCCACTAGGTTAGTATTAACGTACACGTTATTTATCACCGCACTTTTAACTTTACGCAAAACAATTGAGATGTCATCTTAATTTAGGTTGGTGAACTCAAGGCCGTCGGTACACTATACTTATACCATTATTTCTTTACTTTCATACTAGTTGACTGCTCCGTAAATTTTGTAACCAACTGCTGAATAGTCAAAACATGTGTTTCGTCCTGTTTGGAATTCGTCAACTGGGTATGTTAACATCCTTAGCGGGTGTTGTCTCTACCGAAAATTGAGAAATAGTATCCATCTTGTTAAACAACAAAATGATGTTCATTAATTAACTGAGTTAAAACAAACACCCTTTAATTGACCGTTATCAGTCGTATATTTTAAGAACTCATGTTTTATTCAGTTGAAAATTCTGTTGTGGTGTATTAAGGGCATGAATATTAACATTGGTCAATTGATTTACCACATTATAGATCATTTTATTATAACTAACCTATTATTGAATGAATAAGATTGTCATTTATGTATCATATATTGAGATATTCCTAAAAATATTCATGAAGAGTTCTACTGTATAAATACTTCAACATATTTTGAGAGATCTTTTCCCTTTGATTTCATATCCTATTTGTTACTTTTTTTCTTCACAAATACTGTTTCGATTTAGTCGAGTGAACACTTGCAGGATCCTGAACAAGTTGAAGAAGCTTTGGGCATTTTAAAAGATGACAAAGAATTTGAGGAATTCGAAAAAGAAAGTATGTTGTACTTTTTTATTATGATTATTAGCACTTTTTTTCCCGAGTGTCATATAAGTAAATTTAACGAACTTATTATTTCTTTGTAACGGATACTGGTTTAAAAAGAAAAGCATTTTGAAGTATGCTATATATACAACTTAACAATTATAGTGTAATGGATGCTATTCACAAGGTTGTTTGTAAGTAGTGTGTAGCGGAACGTGGCGTCCAAGTTGCAACAGTTGTCAGGCATAGCGAAGACTTTCAGTGTACTGAAAGCACAACGTTGACATAACACACCGAAAGTTGCAAATGGACGATTGACGGCTATGTATGTGTACTATGTAAATACTTGTAACTTGTAATAAATATGCATACATCCTGCCCATTGTCGTGTTTTACACTAGGAATAAGATGTGTGCTGAATAAATTGTTAGTATTTATAAAATTAAAAAGCAATTTAAGGTGTGAAAACATTGAATAGACGAGGAAAGTCTCATATTAGGCGTTTTGAGTGTTTATTTAACCTCTAGTATAGTACTGTTGATTCCTTATCGAGGCTTCAACTACATGACCGAGTAATGCGTCAGATTCGGCAAACTAAAACACAAAACTATCTGTGAAGACTGTATTATAATTACGAAATTATGTGAAGCAAAATACAAACATCAACTAGTCAGGTGTCCACAGTATTGACTAAGTCAAAGATTTCTTCCTATAATAAACCTATAGAGTTATTTACAATGAAATAGGATGTGATTATATTTGTGTCCATTGGATTAAAAGTGTTTATATGTCATGTTTCTATTTCGTTTAAATTAGCTTGGACAGCATCAGAGGAAGAGATTTCGGATCTGCAAGTATGGGATGATAAATGGGATTGTGAAGTTGAGATAGATGACCAGTTTACTCAATATTTAAGGTGAGTGTTGATGTGACTAATTTTTATTTGTTTCATTATTTCAAAGGTTAATATTCGTCTAAAGATTCTTGGATTTCTGTTCATTACTTGTCGTATATTAGTATGTTTGCTTTTCCAGTGACATGTTTTTAGACTTCATTGAGTTGTGTTACATATGTGATGGCAACTTTACTGATTGTTCCCATATAAGGTCAAATGTTGTGTGAATGTTTTTCTTAGATGTGGCTTCGGATGGAGGAAACTTTATGTACAGTGACTAAATTAGGAGATACACCTGGGAATTTCTGAATATTTCATTCCGTATTACAGAAATTACTCCTTTGAAAATGACGATTAAATCTCGAGTTTGTCTGTTGAACGAATGGTAGTGAGTTAGAAGTGAAGTGAGATAATACATTATGTCGTCGAAAATACTTGAATACCTGTTTGCTTATTCTATTTTCTCAAAACTTCTGAAAATACTGGTTGACCTGGTGAAGTATAGTTAGCAATTGCATCATCTTTTACCATCCTTGCTATTACTGATACCGATTGAATCCTGTTGGCTGTCGGTCCGATGGAGATTTCGGTCCGAGGACGACCTTCATCAAGTTGTCAATTACGATACTAATGTATTAACTGGTAATTTTAACATAGATTGGACTCCCAACTGTTCTTTGAATTGATTATTTTCATTCATAATTAAGACGTTGTAGTGAACATGAACACGAGTGGGGGCAATCGAATGTATTTGAACACGAAATTACTGAATGTCTCACTAAAATCTGAGAACTATAAAGCAAATAGTTAATTTGCAAAATATCAATCCATTATGATAAGATGGATTTTGGAGGTAGTCAACACGAAGCCGTGGACCCGGGTTTCGTGCTACTTGGCACTCGTCAGCAAGGTGTACCGGTAATCTTGAGGGAACTGGTGCTCCTTGACGGATCCAATCCCGTTTCCAGGGTTTCCTGTTGACTACCTCCAATCATCATCTTATCCCAACATAGTGCATGCAATGTCGAGTCACCTAGACTAGCGGCCAGATTGCAACTTGATTGATAGCATTCGATCTGTACCAAGAAGGACTTGACACACATGACATTGATCACCACCCAGTGATCAATCCATTGTCTCGAACTTAACTGCTCCTTTTGCAAATCTCAGTCCATCGCCTCAGATTTCACTGTTCGTGCATTTTCATACCAATGGCTTTCCGTTCCCGTCCCAGTTCCTTCCTTCTTGATCTTCTACTGAAATACATTCTATTCCGGACTGTCGTTATATACTACTTATGTGGGAATAAGTAGCTCACACCACAACTTGAGTAAAATCACTCAGTCAACAAATTTTTCAGCTACTTAAGCTTTTATAAATCAGATTTAAGAAAGAAGAGACTAATTTCTGTTTAAGCAGTATAAATGTGCACTCTCCAAGTCCATAACATTTAAGGGTTCCACATGGATTTTGTACATTAAGTTATAAAATACACGATTCAAATTTCTTAATATCAAGGCGACTAAGATTATTCTTTTTATTTTCAGACAAGAACTGACCAAACTTGGCCACTTACACGAAACTAATTAAATTCATTGTTAAACATTTCAAATAAATCATTATCACAATGATTGCGTTCCAAATAAACTATTTGTAATGAATAATACGTTCACATTCTTTATGTTACAAGTTTTTGACTTTCCGATTTAGACAACTATGGAGGAAATCCAAATTTCCTACGACTTTGCGCACATCGTTAAAGTGAGACGAATACTTATAGAGAGGTGCAAGTATTCTTAAAATGATGTGATTATAAAAGTAAGTCACTTTGCCAAAAGAGGATAATCTACTGTCGTTGAATGTGTGCTGGATTACCTTAATCGTCCGTATGCGAAATAAACTATTTGACTACTTTGTGGTGATATAGACTTTTATAAACGAACCCAATCGAAAAATCAAACTAAAGTTTTCATTGGATATCGTTACTTGGGCTTAAATAATGAAAATACACCAAAATCATCAATTTGAAGTGTGAATTTCCCCCACAATCTTAAATTCTAGAAAACAGTACATTGTCGAACATATAAATCCAAAGATACAGTGAGAACGGACTTACGCGTATATAGATAACAGTACATCGGATCTGTTAAGAAGACGTTTATTGTGCATTTATCATGAAACAACATAAATAAGGCAACTTGAGTAACCAAAATCTTTAACTGGTATAGTTAAGCAAAGCATAAATAAGAATGCCTATTATATCACAAGGTATTATGCATATCATATATACGTTGTCACAAGAACATCCTTATTAAAGTTATAGAATTGAAAAGTAAGAAAGAAAAAATTTTATTTGACCAAATGGTGAACTACTGGTATCGTTGAAGCAACCAAACATATCACAGATAAGCAAAGTGAAATGAAATGAAAGTACCATAATTGGGTAAAGATGTACCATACTATAGTTTGAATTAAATTAGATATCCACCATGAGAAAAAACATTTATGAAGAAAATATTGGTACAGTGCTTGTTCTACTATACCGTTGCTCATTAACATGATATAAGGTAGCTGTCCCCAACCGAATGAACAGCCTGCATATAAAATAATCATTAGAATATTCACGGTTGTTGACGGCTGAATGAGTACTTTATCAACAAGCGACTATAATAGGGAAGTTATGGTAAATTGGTATTAGGATAGTTTGAACACTAAATAAGAATGTTTTGATTTAAAAAAAATTAGCGTTTATTTCTTACATCAAAGATAATTCGCCATGTATTAGCCCTACAGTCTATGTCAATTAAATCTCAATAAGTGAGCATGATTTAACAAAGCTTTAAATAAAGTAACTGACTGCGTGGTACTAATTAATGAAAGTGATTGATTACATAATCTTAACGTAGTTCTGATCTGAAAGTTTCTACAAGGTTAATACATTTCTTAACTATAACTTCAAGGTAAATTTACTAACTGGAATAGATTGAAATGTAACTTGACTGTGAGAAATTACATATTTTCGGATTGTAGCTATCACTGGATTCTAGAACGCATATCTCCTGCTACTTGGTATTTGTTAGTTTTATGTAACTCACATTAACTTGGTGCTGATGTTATTTTGTGTTGTCATAACCAGTTGATGGGTAACAGGCTCCATAGATGCAAGACCACTGGTAGTAGGCAGTCATGGTAGTGAGTGACTCTTAGCGACCGAGTGTAGTTGAACAGTATCGATAGGTCCAGTGAATTACCTGTCTACTTCAAGTGAAGAAATAGGGTAGAAAAATAATACAACTGCAAAGTAGGAAAAATAAGGCAAAATGAACTTGAAGTCCACTTTGGTCTAGACGTGTAAAGAGCCTATAATGTCCGAGTGGGGCGCAGAGGTGTTCGTACGTGCTAGATCAACGCAAGTGAGGGCTTGATCAAGCGGTTTTACAAACGTATGTAATTCATCTGCCATACGTTATTCGGAGGGAATACTGTTCCATATTATTGCATACTTGATGAGGACGAATTTTTCCCGAGTTTTTGATCTGTGTTTTTCAACTTTGACCGTAGATACTTTGTTTCGAAGTCCGTATTCATGTGTGTCTTGGGCGAGAACTATCTTACATGTTGAGTAAGTAAGCCTTTTGAGTAGTTTGAAGTAGAGAATCAAATTAGACCTAAGCCTTCTTTTCCAAAAAGGTTCTATTCCTAAGATTTGTCATCGAGAACTGTAGTCAGTGATCGATTCAGTCTTAAGTATTTTTCCGAGGAAGTCTCAGTGTATTCCTTCCACCTTTAGTATATCAGATAGGCGTAGGTTGGATAATAAGAACGAGCAGTATTCAACGATAGGTCTTACACAAACTTTATAAAGAAGGATTGTAGATTCATTTTGATAGAAATTACGGAGAATGAAGCTAAGCAATTTCCGAATCTTAGGTGCTTTGGTTGAGATGTGCCCAGAGAATTTAAGACTGTGAGTAATATACCCCTAGGTCAGTTACTGATGCCAGTCTGAGCAGTGTGTTGTTGTTAAGTGTTAGTTTTATTTTAAGAGACGTATCTCCTATACATAAGCAGCCGCATTTCTCTGTGTTGAGCTCTAACCTCCAGCGTTTGCGCCAGTCGTCCACCATGTTGAGTTAATGTTGAATTGTTTGCATTGTACTACGTACATCGCAAATGTCAGTTTTATAGACGACTTTTAAGTCGTCGGCGTAGAGGTAGGCCTTACCTGTGCTAAAGCATTCGCATATATTGTTGATCTAGATTCTAAAGAGCAATGGACCCAAGACACTACACTGCACAACACCACTGATTATTGGTTGAGGTGTAGATGTTGTACAGTTAATCTTGTTTATTTGGTATCTGTTCGTAAGAAAAGATTTGATCCATTGCAAAAGGGGATTTATAATTCCGACCGACTTAAGTCTTTCGATTAGAAGATTATGAGGTACTTTATTAAAGGCTTTCTTAATATCGAATTATAGTAGAACCACTAGTTTCTTCTGGTCACGTATGCGAGAAACCTCGTTAAAGAATTCTATCAGACATGTACTGCAGGACCTTGTTCTAATGAAGCCGTGTTGTGACGAGTTTATTAGATCTTCCTTAAGTAGGTGATCAGATAGTTGATTTTGTATCACTTTTTTAATTATGCGTGATATAACTCGAGTGATATTTAAAGATCTGCTGTTTTCGACCATGTTTCTCGGTCGTGATTTGTGTTTGAGAAGAACATACGTTACCTTCCAGGTTTCCGGATATGTACCTGTCTCTAAAGATAATGTGTATATTTGAGTAGTAGCGTCTGTATATCCGGTATGTATACTGAGGCACTATTGAGGCATAAGTGGATTGTCATTTTTGGGTAGCTGAGTGGTTGGGCTGAGGGTGAGTGGTTGCAGCTGCTTTATGTGCAGTCTTGTTCTTAGGACTAATGACAGCATGCGGCGTGCCTCCAATTTTGGGTGGGGTAGTGTATGGTGTTTTAGGATTTGTGCAGTGATAAGCGCTGTAGCTGCCGCGGCTACGTAGACTGGGTTGATTAGTTTGCGTTCTATTGCGGATTCGACGCTGGATAGCAGTCCTGTCATGAATGATTCTAATCTTTTTAAATGTTGGAATACGCTTTAGTAATGACTGACTATTGAGGAGGTGATTAGCTTCAGTGATAGCACGGAACTAAAATAGAATGGACAGGAGGCTTTAGTGTGTGCTTTATGTAGTCTTCTTGTTACACACCAAGAATGCGACAATCCACATCCTTGTAGTAGGGTATTTTTAGCAATCTTCACGTTCGCACTATCAGGTATATTATACACAATGACATTCCGCATACACTGAAGTCTTTTCAACACTTCAGATCTAATATGGTCTATTACTTTTTCTGTGTTTTCTTATAATTTTGAAACCGGGACTTTCTGGAACATTGATTAAATATTTGTACGGCACTAATACTTGGACAGTTTGAGTGAAGCTAAGTTCTGTTTGGCTGCTTTTAGATCTACCAGTGGTGAGATTATTGAAGTTTATATCAAAGCTTTCAAGGTCGATATGGTTACATGCAGACCACACTGTCACACTGTCTAAATACTGCTCAAAACATGTGATGCTTTTGTTTGGACTGAAAAATGATGTCAACTCTAACGGTATGTGACTGCTCTTATTTATATCTATAAACGAGATTCAAGGTAGTGATATGTCATGCCCAAGTAAACGGTGCACGTTTAATGTAGCTGGAGGAAGATCAGAGTAGGATGCCGACTGATCAGTATGTTTATAAAGCTTCACATTATTCGCTTTAGTGACTAATTTAGATCTTTTGCAGGTGCTATAGGCATCAGGAGAGATTATATGTTTTTTAGATGGTTTGGACATTGTTGGAAGTAATGTTAATTTAAAGTTTAATTAAGTGAACAGCGACAGTTATAACTTAGGTTATTAGACGTGTAAAGTTCTTTGGTAGGACCAAATCCTGTATTAGTCAAGACCAAATATATTGAAGTTGATGGGCGAAAAGATGTAGACAGCGTGAAAACTAGCGAAGTGAATGTATGACTTTGAGTACCAAAATGAGGTGTCAGGTTGATAGAACCCTATCAGTGATGAATTATTTATCGCTAATAAATGTTAAATTAAAGGAAAAAGCTAATAGGAAAACAAAATAATACTACGTGAAAAAAAGTTACAACCTTCAAAAGAGTTATAAATTTGTGAACGGGCAACCAAGTGTATGTAGGCCTAAGACATAGGTCTTAAGATGACCGACTCACCCGTTTGTGTTTATTGTCACTGACCTGGAGGGGAATAAAGGGTAGTCTGATAATGGCACACGATGCATTAAGTACACCAAATCACAACAATACGAGCATATTGACGGTCCTTGACGCAACCCTCGAAATAGAACACACCAGAGAGAGGACAACCAGATACGCTCTTCATCTTCTCCTTACGAGTTGCTCCATTTGGAATGCTCTCCCTGATGAAGTGGTCACAACCTCCACAGTGGATAGCTTGAAAATGAGACTTGACAAACATGCACTCACTCACGAATTATCATCTTCCTCTTGGACCAGTTATTTATGATCCATGTCTCATAATTTACCTGCTGTTATCATTACCGTATATCAGTGGCCAATCTCTACCTCGCTTATTATCTTCTCCGTTTCCCCTCTCGTTCTTACAATACAATCTCGTGACAAGGATATTCGAAACCAGAGTTCACTGAGGCTAGTAAAGTGGTTGTACTGCACTGATTGTAAGTTTTTACAAATTAACACTAGTCCTTTAATCCAGGAAGAAAGTACGTGGAAATCAGTCCTTTTACACAATCCCATCATAGAGACATTGGATATTGACAACAGAATATTTGTAGGAAACGTAGCGGACGGACGGAATTTCGTCCGAGATTTGTCGTTATCGTGGTAGTTTTGTCCATAAACTACATCACATGTAAGTTTCTGTTGTTAAATGTGAAACTATGGACGTAGGTCCTTCACAACACAAGATTTAAGGTTCTTTCTTTTCACAACAATTTGGAACCATACCAATCCTCACTTTTCGGTTTAGTTATATGCAAATATGAGAGAAAAATGGATTGGTGTCACAGTTAAAAATATTTCGTTCCATCCGCCAAAGCTATAATGCATTACACAGAATTTTGTTCTCTCGAGAGGTGACGTATCCTCAGTGTTTTGCACACGACAATGAAGTTGGTTACAATATAACTAACATCTCGGTCACGAGATTGTATAAACCTATCGGTTACTTTGCTCTTGCTTCTTGTTATTTCAGTACGGTTCCAGATATTAAGTAATACTCAAGTGGTACTGGTCAAGCAACTTTTCCCGACTAATTCTAGTCCGATGATTATCTGTGGTTTTGTATATCTTATAGTTGAGTGTATTTATCTCAGAACATCAGGATTTCTTGGACTAGCAGAGATTAGATTACCAGGCATTAGGTTCACTCATTGCAGTGTGATAACGATAAAGTGATCAAGAAATAAATGTACAAACAAGTTAATTAATTCATAACGCAGAAATTGTGGGACTACAGAATTGTAAGAAAAAGAGAAGAACGGTGATGATAATAAGCGAGGTAGAGATTAGTCACTGATATACGGTAATGATAACAGCAGGTAAATTATGAGACATGGATCATACATAACTGGTCCAAGAGGAAGATGATAATTCGTGAGTGAGTGCATGTTTGTCAAATCTCATTTTCAAGCAATCTGCCGAGAGGGCTGTAGTTACTTCATCTGGGAAAGCATTCTTTGCACATGCATATTACCGTGGTCTTTATGTTAATGTAAACAAATTATTAGTGGTTCGTAAACATTGTTATGTTATGTTTACCATCCTCATATTAATAATCCTCATCGGTTTTCCTTAGCTGCTAGCTTGAGACAAAACTGTGAAGTCATAAGTTATTCCTTTGCTTTCATAAAGAAACTTAAAGTGTAACATTGTGACTGGTAGTTTTGACGTATTATTTCTGATATTTTTCATCAATTTTTTTAGCTTTAACACATTACTTCCACATACCTCCTTACTACTTGCTTGATAAAAGCAAACTGCGATTTAGAAGTCTTCTGATTCAAAACGTATAGGTTCCAAATCATAAAGATGCGGATGAGCTCACCTATCTATATTATTTTACGTTCTGTCATATATTTTCTCAGTCCAAAATTCAATGTGTTAGTCTTGTTACAATTTCATGTTCGGAATGGCGATATAAATTTAGCTACGCCTTATATCTCATTCTCTCCAAGACTGGCCACCTTTTGTGTAACCACAGAATAGTCTAATGTACGGTTCAAAATCAAGATTGAGATTCTGTTTTCCTCAGTCTGAGCTGAAAACTACTCGATTAATTTACATCAGACCCATCTATGAAAATCCTTAGGTAAATTAAGATTTTCCCATAGATGGATATAAGATCAACACGGATTAACTGACACATTATTTGGATTTCTTATGTATACTTTGTTTTCTTTTCCCCTAATATCTTTACAATACTTTTGATGATACTAATAAAACAACATTCGGGTTTTTCTGCTTACTTAGTTGTAACATATCCGTAACACGCTAGAAATTGATTTAAAATCATTCTTGCTCAAAAATAAACCACATTTATTTGAAAATAGGTGACTACCCAAAGAAGCAGCTTATTCCTTTCTCATTGGGATATTACACATATGTTATTGTATTTGGTCATTGTGAATTGTTCCTCCTTATTCAAATATTTTGCCGAATAACCATATGAAATTGAGGGGAAATTCGACTCTACTGATCAAGAGGTTCTGTGGCAGTGTCCGTTATTGAAAAATGTACAAAATATGTACGTCAACCTTGTACATACTCTCTACTCATACAACACTGGTTGAGTCGGAGTGTGTGACAGACTTTCAATAGAATTAGTTACATCAGGCTGTATTCATTAGGGTTGTCCACTTTACGCATTTTAATTTAACTCTGTCATGGACATTCTTATGGAGGTAACGTTATCATTATCTTACCTTTGAGAAATTGATCTACCAAGAAATTCACTTGTTAACTTAAAACACCAAGATGACGTATTTTTGTTTGGCAACGTAATGAAAAAACGTCAAATCTTCTATTCATCGTGAAAAATGATGAAAATATGTTTTTGATACGTTTTCATCCCTCTTTAGGTAAAATGTTGTTTGGGGGCTGATCTACGTCAGCGCCTAAACTACTGATAAGATGTGAAGTAGTTGGGCGTGTTGTCCTCTTCACTTATCTTGTAAATGTCATGAGCTCTATTGTGTTGGTGTTTGACGAAATCACGGCACGGATTCAGAAGACCCGATTGGCTTTTACCCACTTGCATCACGTGTGGAGCATGTGAGATATCCATCTGCTAAATGAGGAATGAGTTTATTGAGCGGGAGCTTGTTTATTTCGACTTTATGGATGTAAAACGTGGCCATTTGGGACAGAATATTTGTAAATTATTAGTATTTGATCATATATAACTACGAAGTGTTGCTTACGTATGTTGGGACCAAGTGAGCGATGCAGAGATAAGACGTAGGGAACTAAGTATGGATAAGAACTCGGTTAATGAGGTAGAGATATTTTATCGACTGAGGTAGTCGGCATATGTATGACGTATGCTCAACCACCGCAGAAAATGCCTCCTGAAGTTGGTTATTGTAGGGGTATATTAGAAGAAATTTGTGTTCGTCCAAACAAAAACGTGGCATCAGTCCATGAAGTTATTGTCAGTCGTACTGAGCCACGTCGAGATACAGACTATTTGGTTCGTGCTCGCACAATTATCGTAAACAGTGGTTTAAAACGTTGTGTGTCATGGGAAATAATCGAGTGGTGTAAGTGCGTTCACTCTTTGTCTTCTCTCCGACTGCAAGTTTCTGCGAATTCATTCTCGGATCCTATTGTCAATGTTTGATTTTTTTATTGCTGACATTTTCGCTACTTTTATAACTCTAGCATTTGTCTTGTGAATTTCATGCCATCGTACCGTTATTTTGTGGTTAATAACCTTAACAACCTTAGATCCTCATATTGTTTGCTTACAGACTCTCCACATATCAAGGTTATAACAAATCTTGTGAATAATTTAGTTGCACAAACCCGTTTGTTAGTCTTCACACCACTCATGAGTCTTATAGTGTCGCCCATGAAGAGTTCGAGTAAAGGCAACTATTATGTTGTGATTTTATGTAGAATATTTTATTCATTTCTTTCCCAATAGACATTTCATTCTCTTTTTAAACAGATAATGACTGGCACCTATGTAACTGCACAAGCAAAATTTACAAAGTTGAGAAAGAGACTTGATCAACTAGGGTATAAACAACCACTAGGTCTAGACAGCTTACCATTAGTGGAACGTTTGTTTTATGACCTTGTTTGGACAACGGAGAATTTGAGAAAGGTTAGGAGTGAACTTTCTTCTCAAATTCAAATTCGATCTACGGTTGAGGATTATATTGCTCCATACAAAGCAGATAATGGAAAGTTGATACGCGAAAACAATGAAATTAATCACCATTTAATGGTCCTTCGTCAAGATTATGAAGAAAATATTCGAGGTTCTTAAATACTATCCTAAATATACAAGTAGGTTTAAAAGGTGAATGCAGAAGATTAGAAAATGTGAATGAAGACATGAAATATTTCAATTCTCAATGTCTTGATAAAATTCATAATTATGAGCGTGAAGCTAAACGAATGATTGAGCAAATATTATATTTACAAGAGAAGAATTTTCAGGCTGTAGTATATACACCGGGTAATGATCTGTGAAAGCTATTTATGTTAAGCAATCAATTATTTTGCAAGTGGTTTTTATCTCACTTTTCCATTTGTTATTTACTTAATTTCTGCCTAACAGTTGTTCATCAAATTCTCTGCAAAATTTAACATTCTAATGTAACCTATTACTATTCTAGATCTTATTCTCCTCACCATCAAAAACATGATGTGAGTTTTGTATAAATGCTTAAAAATACTGATGCCTCTAAGTGATGAAAGCGGGAATTATTGACTTTAATGAGAAGTGCATTTTCGGTGGATAAGTCTAAATCGACTGGACGTTTATTGATGTAATTAGTATGACAACGAACTGTCGGAATAAATCAAAACTGAATTATAATTCTATATAGAAAACGTTTTAAAATTTATAGAGCCTATAGAGTGAAGGTCACTTACTACTTACTTACTTACATAGGCCGCTCATCAGCATTCGCCGTACAACCCTGTTCTGGGCAATCCTTTCCAGCTCCTTCCAGTTGTTATTCATCCTTTCCATATCTGCTTCTATTATCCGACGCAATGTGTTCTTTGGCCTTCCTCTTTTTCGCTTCCCTTCAGGATCCCAAGTTAAGGCTTGTCTCGTGATGCAGTTTGACGATTTGCGTAGTGTATGTCCTATCCATTTCCATCGTCTTTTCCTAATTTCCTCTTCAGCTGGAAGCTGGTTTGTTCTCTTCCACAAAAGGTTGTTGCTGATGGTATCCAGCCAATGGATGCTGAGTATCTTGCGTAGACAGCTATTTGTAAATACTTGTACCTTCTTGATGATGGTTGCTGTAGTTCTCCAAGTTTCAGCTCCGTACAGTGGGACTGCCTTGACATTCGTATTGAAGATTCTCACTTTGATATTGGTTGAAAGTCGTTTTGAGTTCCATATGTTCTCCAACTGAAGCAATGTGGCCCTTGCTTTGCCAATCCTCGCCTTTACGTCTACATCTGAACCTCCTTGTTCATCGATTATGCTTCCCAGGTGTGTGAAGGATTCTACATCTTCCAGAGTTTCGCCATCAAGAGTGATTAGATTACTGTTCTCCGTGTTGAATTTCAGGACCTTTTCTTTCCCCTTGTGTATGCTGAGGCCTACTGATGCAGAGACTGCTGCTACACTGGCTGTCTTCATCTGCATTTGTTCATGTGTATGCGATAGGAGGGCCAGGTCATCTGCAAAGTCCAAATCGTCTAATTGATTCTGAGCTGTCCATTGTATTACGCGTTTTCCCTCAGATGTCCAGGTCTTCATAATCCAGTCGACCAACAGAAGAAAGAGGAAAGGAGAGAGTAGACAGTGTTGTCTGACTCCAGTCCTTGCTTGGAATGCATCTGTCAGCTGTCCTCCATTCATGACCTTGCACTGTGGTCCATCATATGAGTTCCGGATAATATTGACAATCTCCTCAGGAACTCCGTAGTGTCGAAGAAGTTTCCATAACGTTCTCCTATCCACACTGTCAAATGCCTTTTCATAATCAGTGAAGTTGATGTACAGTGACGAGTTCCACTCAATTGGTCTGTGCACGACCGATCCTTACGGAATCCAGCTTGTTGATCTCCAAGTTCGGCGTCTTTCACCCGGTTCAGCAAAACTCTGTTAAAGACTTTTCCTGGTACTGACAGTAGTGTAATGCCTCTGTAGTTTTCACATTTGCTCAGATCTCCTTTCTTTGGAATCTTGGCGAGGTGCCCTTCCTTCCAGTTCATCGGCATTTGTTCCTCCTCCCAAATCTTTTTGAATAGAAGATTAAGCATGCTTGTCGTTGCTTCGATGTCTGATTTCAGTGCTTCAGCTGGTATGTTGTCGGGTCCTGCTGCTTTCCCGTTCTTGATTTGTCTGACGGCCATTCTGATTTCTTCCGTCGTTGGTGGGTTGACATCTATAGGAAGATCTATGTGTGCTGCTTCGATGTCCGATGGATTCATTGGAGCCGGCCTATTCAGGAGTTCCTCGAAGTATTCTACCCATCTGTTCCGCTGTTGTTGAATTTCAGTGATTGGCCTGCCTTCTTTGTCCTTGACCGTTCTCTCTGGTTTACTGTAATTCCCTGCTAGCTTCTTCGATGTATCGTAAAGTTGTTTCATATTTTCTTTCCTTGCAGCTTTTTCCGCCGTCTTTTCTAGTTCTTCCACGTATTTCTTCTTGTCGGCTCTAACGCTTTTCTTCATTTGCTTGTTTGCTTCTATGTATTCAGCTTGTGCTTGGACTTTCTCTGTTCGTGTTCGGCTGTTGTTAATTGCTGTCTTCTTGTTCTTTCTTTCTTTGATCTTGTCCAGTGTTTCTATAGAGATCCACTCTTTATGATGGTGCTTCTTTAGACCCAGAACCTCTTGACACGTTGAAGTTAATCCTTCTTTGATACCTTTCCAGTTGTCCTCCATAGTAGTTTCTTCTTCTTTCAGTAGATTCTGTAAGGCTCGGAACCTGTTGTTGAGAGTGATCTTGAATTCGTTGATTTTGTTAGTATCTCGAAGGAAGGCTGTATTGAACCTTTGTAATGCTGTTTGTGCAATTGTCCAGTTCTTCTTTAGTTTCAGTTTTAATTTGGCCACAACTAGGTGGTGATCTGAAGCTATGTCAGCTCCTCTTCTGGCTCTCATATCTTCCATTGTCCTTCGCAATTTTTTATTGATGCAGATATGATCTATCTGGTTCTCTGTAGTGTGGTTCAGTGAGATCCATGTAGGTTTGTGTATACGTTTGCGTGGAAATATTGTGGCTCCTATGACTAATTTGTTGAATGCACACAGATTGCAAATCTTTCTCAATTTCCGTTTCTCTCTCCCAGTCCATGTCGTCTCATGATATCCTCATATCCGGTGTTGTCTATTCCGACTTTGGCATTTAGATTTCCCATCAAAATGATGAGGTCCTTTCTTGGGCACTTCTCTATGATTGACTGCAGCCGCTCGTAGAATTGGTCCTTAATGTCGTCGTTGCTATCATTGGTGGGTGCATGACATTGAATAATATTCATTGTGATCCCCTCCTTCTTTGTTTTGAATGATGCTTTGGCGATTCTGGATCCGTGAGATTCCCATCATATAAGTGCATTTCGTGCTACCTTGGACAGCATTAGAGCAACTCCCTGAGTGTGCGGAGCATTTTTCTCTTCATGACCGGAGTATAGTAGCATCTCTCCCGTGTTTAGCCTTTGTTGTCCAGCTTGGGTCCAATGGGTTTCGCTGATTCCCAGTACTGCCAAGTTGTATCTCCTCATTTACGTTGCTATTTGACTGGTCTTCGCGGTCTCACACATTGTTCGGACGTTCCATGTACCTATAAAATTTTTCGGACTGGTTGTTAGAAGGGGCATCGGCCTCGTGGCTTCCGAAGGAACTCGGCTTTCACCATGAAGCATCATAATTCTTCTAAATGAAGACCTTCTAACTTTCAGGGCAGAGTTTAAATGGTTTGAATAATTGTTTCTGGTAAGCGTTTTTTTAGCGAGTTAGTTTTCTACGGGATGGGGACGCTAACCCCATGCCCAACCCTCCTCCTTTTCGGGCTTGGGACCAGCAGTAACTCTGGAAGAGCTACAGGCGGAGTTAAGGTCACTTACTAAGGTTTTAATTATTCACTACCGAGTCATTTTGTGTTCTGCTGTGGTTACCTGAAGTTAACAGACTTCATTCGTTTGATGATGTTATCAAGAATGTTTTGCGGACATAAATTATACACCAACAAAGTAAAATTAATGGGTGACACTCAAAGACCATTTTATTAGAAGTGTGGTGACTATCTGTAACTAGAAAATCAGCTTCAGTTCTCTATCCGGCGACTTTGTCAGAAATCGATGGATTCGTTTTCTTCTTTTGGTAAAAATTCACTCTGCATCAATTTTGAAGTAGGTAGAGACCACTCATAACTTTGAAGTTTAATTGTTCCTTCCCGTAACAAACATGTAACAGATAGATTTCTGCTCAAATCCTTCATTCATCTAGGTTACTGTAAATGGAATTTTTCTTCAATGATGCCTCCATTAGTGTTGGTACTCCAATGACTAACGCCCTTATATTTTTGTTCATTGTGCGTTGAAAAATCTTTGTTTAGATGGTGGAAAAAAGCAATTGCCATTTAGACGTCAGAGAATGGATATTGATAGTTTGGCACCTCTTTCCAAGGAAGCTAAAACTTTAAATAATGAAAATTACTGTTGCTCAATAGCTCAAATTTGGGAAAAAGCTAATGTAAAAGGGATACCTAAGGTATTTCTTTCATTTGTAATAAACAAAAATTTGATTTTGTGCTATACAATGAAAATGTTTTCATATAATCAACAATTTAATCAAATATAATATTAGTTTTGAATTTAACTAATTGAATCCTGCTTCAGTTTGGGCACCCAGGCTGTATCACAGCCCTTACACAAATCAAATGACAGTTGTGTGGTGCATATATATCTGGTACTCCCTTGTACCAATATTTATGTGTTTAAATAGATAAATAAATAACCGAATTATTTACGGGCTAAAAAATTGAGAAAGCCAACTGCTCTTAACGAGAAACTTTGTATGGAGTTTTATTTTACGTGTATTTATGGACCTAAAAAAATGTTCACTTTACAATAAGTCTCAAGGCATTAATTGATTCCTAATTTATTTACCTTTTGTTTCGTAATACAAAGTCTATAAAACTGTTGTATTCATGCTAACCCATTTGATCTATTTTATTTTTAATAGCTGATTTTTATTAAAATATATCCATTGATAAAGATATGATTATTGAACAATTTCAGTGGTTTTTCAATGAAATAAATAGACAATTCTTATCTTTATTTGAATGTTTGTATT